CTTTGGAAACAACGTGACAGAGATTAACGGAGAAAAGTAATATCTACATATAAAGACGGAGAAAGTAAACGATAACGTGTATGGTTAAGTGTTAGCAACCCCCGAACAAGCTCTTACGTTGATATTGAAGATTTCAATAAATTCAATTTGAAAAAAAAACGGAGAAAAAACAAACAAAACGAATATCCGAACAACGAAATTGAAACCCGAATAGTACTCAAACGAACGAATATTCGGATATTCGGGTAAAGCCCTACGTCCATACATGTCACTGGAGAAAGTGGGAAATGTCGAGAGAGCAGGACCCTGATGCAAAGCAGCACGTATGATTTATGGGGAAATAAATGGGGTCATTGTAGGCACAGTAACGGGATCCCCGAGGGGGTTGGGATTCTTTTGTGGTTGTAATGGTTCCATGGTATCTGGGGGTGGGCAGCATGTTGGTAAGCTGATGCGGAGAGCAAAGGTGGCATCACTGCCACTGTAAAAGTGTGTGTGTGTGTGTGTGTGTGTGTGTGTGTGTGTGTGTGTGTGTGTGTGTGTGTGTGTGTACAGCTGAGCAGTACAACTTGAATAGCCAATGGATGAATCCACTTCTAAATACTAACTCAGTAACAAGATAGAGTCATGCTACAGTTAAGACCTGCCCTGCACTATAAGTACAAAAGTAGTCTGCATTGGTACCTGAAGACAAACGATACATAACAGGACCTGATTTAGTGATAAATCTATGAGTTTCAAGATGTATGAGACACTATTTTACATCAAAAATGATTTAACCCTCAGTCTTGATAGTCACAATACAAAAAGTCAAATATTCCCTCCATTCAAATTGTTTTACTCACGTTTATGTCCCCTAAAATGTCTGTATCTGTGAACAGTTTTTCACTAGGTGTTTAACATTCCTCTACTGACGGGGCGAGTTACATTCAGTCAGAATAGCAAATTGCTGTCATATACAAATGCAGACCCTTATCTTCGCAAAAGCAGTCTTTGAAACAAGACTGGCAAGCAACCTAAACCCTCCAGCAAAGAGAGGCCTTACAGAGCATGGATGTATAAAGAGAACTGGATTCAGTGAGTCGGGCCGGTTTATTCCTAAGAAAGTTGCTCAGTGGTGCAGGATAGCAGAAAGGGCCTGAATTTAGGAACAACAAGTAAGGAGACTTAGGTTCATAACACAAGCGCTCTTTTTTTTCTTTTTCTTAAGCACCACTTCCAATTCACTCCGATACGGCCAGTATCAGCTCAGTCAAATAAATGGTTAGGGAAAAATAACTATACATTTGTCTTTTAGCTAATTTTACAACTTTTAGAACCTGCTGATCTTTATACAGGCTGCTCAAGTGTTCATATTGGGTAGTTGATTTACCTCAAAAGAAATGATCCACTGATTTACTTTCCAATTGTAAATCAATGGGAGTCCATACTGACACAGAATATGTAGTACTACTGTTCGACTAATACAAAAATTGGCTTCAACTTCCGGCGGGTTTTTGCATGTGAACTTGACTTTGAACCCTCTTTCCACTCTACCTACGAATGACAAAAGATATTTTTGTACGTTTCAGAACCATTGCCATTTTTTCAGGCAAAGCCAGTTACAAGACTACAAGGTGACGTAAAAATAAAAGAATAGTCTACCAGATTGAAACTAATGGAAACCAAAATACAGTGTTAGATATGTATATTTACAATTTACAATACCATATATCTCTATCTATATGTAAAGTCTGTTGAGTCACTAATCCCTATTGAAACTGCAAATTGCTTAATCAATTAATAACAAAAGAAATTGGCAAGGATACAAATAAATAGGTAACAAATAACATTTTACTCAAACACATACCTATAAATAGTAAAAACCAGGGAAGCTGATCATGCTGTAATGGTCCCTTAATATTTTCAAGAGCTGTACATACATGTTGCACCGTTACACTAAAAAGACAACCGGAAACAGGAACATTTTTAGCCGACATTTTCAAATAACAATAGTTATTTTGTAGCCAGGGGTTATAACTTGACGAACTGTAACAATTTAATACCTTGTTAAATCGTGTGATGATTTTGCTACATTAGCTGTTTCGATTTTATTTTCCAGAAAGTGATTTAAAAATTCAGATGAACTCTTTTGACATTAAACTTCAGACCTGGAAATAAGATTATGAAGAAAATGGCTGCAGTGTGCAAAGTGATATGCAGCAGTGGGCTTAAAAAGTCACAAGGCATATTAGCAGTACGGTGAAGACAGCTACAGAGAGGAAAAAGACTGAGTGAGGCTGCGTGAGAGATGGTGAGGGAGGAAAGAAAAACCGGAGTGAGATAGAGTCCTAAAACGCTCCCGAAGCCTGTCACATGGGGCCTGAAGTCGCACGGCTCAGCACTTCCTCTTGTAGGTCCGTCCGCTCCTGACATTTATCTGCTTTATTAGATTATCTGGGCTACATGGCTCATGCTGGCCCACGCACATACAGATACATACATTCACAAGCACCTCTCGATTCATTACAGCGCTAACTACTTACTTTAGGTTTATGCCCTCTTTAAATTAAACTACAGATAACCACGGGAAAACAGAAGGGAGGAGAGGCTAGAGCTGGCCATTGAGGAGGAAATTAAGAAACATTGTTTGGGAGTGTATTATCATGCATGTGTGAGTGGTCATAAGGTTGCTTTTTAACGGGCTCATCTATAGGGACTCTGCTTCCCATCATTAGTAATTCAATTTGCGCTTTATTAGCAGCTCTTATCGGAGGCACAGACGGGCCACGGTGGGCAGCTTTCCTCACTCCATCTTCCTCTGCACTCCACCTTTTTTCCTCTTGATTCTGAATCCCCTTCTTTAATTAGAGACGCATGTGTTCCTGCTGTAAGCCGTTCAGGGTGTCCACATGACACGGAGAAATGATGGAGAGGAAAGGAAGGGGGGGAAAGGACGTGCAAGAAAGTTACAGAATCAGAAAAGGAAAGGCAGAGTGATAGACACAGAGCCATGGGGACGAATAAAGCCTAATGTTAATAGTGATGGCTTTTTCTAATGTCTTCTGACTTCATTGAGTATGGGAGATTACACCAAGATGGGCATGAGGCGTGTAGGGTACACGCAGAACGACCGGAGGGTTGGAGGGGCAAGAGGAGGGGGAGGGAGGAGGGGAGAGAGACGGAGAAGGGAGGGAGGGAGGGCTGTAAAAACAATGATTGCTTTCCATCAGGTTAGGCCTGTATTCTACAGTTCGTTAAAACAATCCAATTTGCAAAAGGATAATTATGCATTAGCTCCTTTTTATCTACTGGAGGGAGAGCGGTGCCAGGGCTTGATAGCGGTGGCGCTGCCTGCCTCCACCTCTGCAAATTACCCGCTATCGGCACTTGTTCGCCATCACGGCTGAATTGGGCAATCAATTACATTCCCCCCCCCTTCACCTCCTCTTAGAGAGTGCCTGTGAGCCTCTCTAGTGACAGCCAGATACACAAAGCCCAGACAAGGAGGAATACTCGGATGTGAGCTGTTGCCCTCTACTGGAGACAGCTGGAATAATGACTGAGGGGCCAATTAGTTGTCTCTCAATTCTATAAGACATAGCTTATAATCATGTGATGAGTATGTGGTGTGTTCACCAATACTAGACTCCACTGTTTTGCTCTTTTGGTAACTCGCCCTCTCATTGCATTACATTTAAAGTAAATTTAAAAAATGCAACTACTTTGCATGCCTGTATTATGTATATGTAGTATGCTGTGTTTTTACTTTAGAATTGATATTTATAGTGTATAGTGTTTATAAGAATTATAAGTTGTTTTTTTTGCATTATTAAATTGTTTCTTTCATTTTATTTTAAAGTCTTTTGCAATGTTTTGATAACCTGCTACTGCAAGAACATATTTCTCCTAATTGGGATTTATCCGTTCATCTATTCTTCCATCCATCCATGAATATTTAAAAAAAACATATTTATATCAGCCTTAAAATCTGAAATACAGGGTTTTTTGGAAACTAACTGCAAAAACAATGTACTACGACAATAAGCATAGAGGGAAATACAGAATACGTTCTACAAGTATGCAGTATTCTGAGAACACTGGGGCACAACACAAGAACTGAAGCAAGACATGTTGCCAAAGTATTCCCTTTGGCAACAACAAGTCACTAAAAAGCAATACATTAAGACACAAAGAACCAACAAATAAATCTAACAGACAATGTCGTACATTGTTCAATTGAGTGGAAGTAAAGCCACTATAAAAAAGAATAGTTCCAAAGACTGAAGCAAAGAGCGTTCTGATGATACAACCGCTGACTGTCGGTTTGAAATATGTAATGCCAACTTTGATACATAAGAAAAACCTAAAGACGTGGCAATGCTCTGATAAAAGGGTTGATCTAAAGAGTGATGCAGCACAGACATTTATTGTAAATGTAATAGAATATAGAGGAAGTCGTGCATATGATCCTATAATATGGAAGATTACATAAAGACCCCTCTGCCAAATGTGCCCTTATGTGTGAAGGTGCCAAAGCCGAGGCGAGCAGTCTGTGTTAGTTCCATTTATTTATTTTACCTAAAATACATGTAAACATACATTTCTAAATAACAGAACTGTTGACCAAACCCAACCTATTTGCATTAACAAAAAAGGTATCTCTTTTATTTTACTTTTGCCCCATTTGTTCTGGGAAATCTATCATGGGAGATGTGAATCATTAAAAGGATGTTAATAGCAGCATTAGACGTAGCACTAAGATAGAACCGGCCTACAAAAGAACCATTACCAGTGAAACTAAAAATAATATTATCAAATCCTAAAACTAATAATTATCTCAATAATCACTCATTTGGTCCTAATGTCAGGAGTTTTGAAGTGGTTGATGGACAGTTGGTGAGTTATTGGTTAAAACAAGTTGCAATAGCACCACCAACTGGCCATCCAGTGTAAATCTAAACTAAAGAGTGGGTGGGAAATCAACATTATATACAAAGTTATGTTGCTGTGGGTCTTACTGTATGGTTGCTGCGATCCCCATGCTTGTGAGTGAGGGAGAAAAGAAGGAACTAAAATTAGTTAATCAGAACAATTTTTACCCCCTTTTCCGTCCCTGCTAGAGAGCAGGTACTTTCGTGTGAGAAAAAGGTTACTGAAGCCAGTCCCCAACTCCGGGGACTTCCGGCCGGGGACTTTGGGCGGCAGTACGCCGTGAAGTTGAACTTAAGAGTTCTGATTAACTAAGTTCTGGGAACTAAGTATGGCAAAGTACTTGTTGTGAAAGCACCTAATATGGTTCTTACATTTCTATCAAATATTGCACACAATTGTAACCTCAAACTATGTAATGTGATTTGCAATATAGGAACATATGGTTGGCAACTCATAACAGGGAAAACTGTCCATTAAAAAACAACCTAATGAAATGAGCAGAACTATACTTAATAACACTCAATACTGTTAATATTGCACATTCCTATATACTGCATGAGTTATTTGTCATAAGATTCTTATTTTATTTGTTTATTTTCATTGTAAACATTTCTTCTTATTCTTTACATTTTTTATAGTATTTGTTTATGGTTATTTTTCATAGTTGTATATTTGCTACATTTTTTTTACAACCTTATTACTCTTAAATGTGCTTTTGCGTGGACCATTACAAACAAAAGCAAATTCCTTGTATTTTATTTATTTGCTATGCTTATTAGCTTTTATCCGTGCTTGCTTTTGCAGTTGTTGTGTTTTAAAGGATTTGGATGAATGTGCTTTTAATGGTGCATCTGCTTTAATATGTGCTGTGATTGTGTGTTTTTGTGTGCGCTGACTGCTTACGTGCAGTTATTGTGCTTATGTGGAGGATTTGTCTTTGCTTATGTGCTCCTTTATACTTTGTTTTAATACCATCAACCTGCAAGCTAAATCTGGCACATTAAGTTATGTAATCAAGTGTCAATTCATGTGAATTGTTCCATCTTTATAGGTAAAAAAAAAACTATTATACAACAAAATAAATGTCTAAATATTCCCAATAAACCTGACTGATTGTAACCATAGGTATCTGATTCCTACCTGTCTTTGTTGATGTGGGGGAGAGCCGCCTCAACTTGTGCCTACCAAAAGACACCAGCTCCCTGGAGGGCGTCCTCCGTCCTCCTGTGGGACTCCTGGCGTTGCTGTGCGTCCGACCACGGGGGGAGTACTTCAGTACCGCTGACGGGCTGCCCCCCTTCTCTGAACCAGCTCCACTGTAGTTACAGGACAGAGGGCAGAGGAGAAACATGTGATCAGTAATACATCAGAAGCTACTTTTATCCAAGTTAAGTTGAATAAAATACAATTAATTAAAGGTCTATTTTTAGGCATATATTATGTGTCTCAGATATATAAAAAACATGTCTATGATGTGTTTTGCACAAAATAGCAAACAGATCATGCATTTTAGACACCCCTCATGTCCCTCTGGTTTAGCCCTGTTAGAGAAGTGCTGATCTGGGTCCTTAGCTTGAAAAAAATAAAAAAGAGGAGGGGGAGCAAATGCCTGCTCAGAATTCTACGAGATACTCAGCTAAATGCTGCCGTGATTAAACGCCATATCCTGTTCCAAACCACATCAAGGATTATTTCTGAAACAATATGGAGTTCAAATGCTTTTTCTCTTGCGGGTTTACCACAAGGTGTGCTCCTTTGGGGGTCCGCATTTACGATATTAACTCATATCGGACCTATCGAATCTGGATCAGCTCCGTTGTAGCCCCGTATTTAGAGATTTGGGTAGGGAGGAAAAGAGAGAGGGTTTTGTTTTCTGACACTTTGTGAGTTCCTCGACACACCGGGGACACATATTTATGTATAAAAAGACAACAAAAAGTGCATTTTGCATGATAGGTCCCCTTTAAAGTATAGGCCATACTTTACTGCCTCCATCTGGCAAAAGACTTAGATAAACTTATGATAAATAAATAAAATGTATTGAAAAATGCAATATGGACACGTGCAATTTTCCAATAGCAGAAACCACAATATGTCATTAAGGCAATATATGTGCTAATAAACCATTTTGAATTAAGTTTTAAGGAGCTGGGGAGAAATAAAACAAATATATTTGATTGGTAGAGATTATCTTAAAATATTAAATCACCCCATGATCATTTTAATATATTTTTCAATGATAATAATTCTAAATTATCCCCCCAATAATGGGAATCGAATCGCAATCTGAATAATTGCAATGAGTTATTTATTCCAAAATGTGCAGCCCTAAGACAGTTATTCTTAAACATTTTATTTTTTATTTAACCAGGATGTCTCATTTGGTCTTGGTGTAGAGCTAAGACACACGTTACTATAACTTACCTAGTAGTAGACCTCCGAATGATTTTCATCCTGCTGCGGAGCTTGAACCCAGCAGGCGAGGAGGAGGGCATCAGGGAGATGCGTTGGGTTACAGACGGGGAGACAACGAGCCCTCCTTTCACGCCTTTGTTGTTTTTTTCAGACGTCCAATGGAAGGCAGATCTACGACGGGCTACTGCTGCCACTCCAGTCGCTGCAGCAGAGGAACTCCAGCCTCCAGCCTTCCAGCGATAACGGCTGCTCAGTGAGGAGTTGGGAGAGGAGCCCGCAATTCCCTTTTTGATCTTAGGAGAGGGAGTGGAGGCTGCTCTGGGTTTCTTGGTCGTCTCTCCCTTCTCTACGGCCCTCTGTGCTACAAACATGGATTTTGGCGATAGTGACTTTCGAGGGATTCTAGCCTGGGTTCCAGCCGAGGAGGAGACCCATTTGTACTTGGAAGTCTTTGGGGTTATATTGGCGGAGCTTATCTTTCGAGGTAACTTCTTAGTAGGCGTTTTCTTACTGATTGCCAAAATGGGGGGGCTTGCACCTGCGACCCCAGCTTTTGAAATTGATGGCGGGGCAACAGTCACAGCTTTGCCTTTGGGTGACGGAATGGAGCTAGCTTGTTTGTGCTCCACTTTTTTCTCCGTCTGGCTTTTGATCCAAGTGAATTTGGAATTTTCCATAAAAGATGCACCCGCCTGGCCCTTGCTGGATTGATTTGTGGGGTTGACAGACGGTTGTTTTGATACTTCTGAAAGCCCAGAGAGAGGTGGTATGGCATTACCAGTTGTAAGAGTTGCTAATTTTATCGTAGTAGCAGTCAGTTTAGTCCCAGTGCAGGTTTTGCTCGTCAGGGAGGGTTTGATCTGTGCTTGAGGGTTGCTCTGCAAACTGGTCAGGGTGTTGGACTCGACTGAAGGCGCCACTTCGGCAGAAGCATTATTTTTCTCTTTAGGCAGGAGAACACGCCTGGTTTCGGTCCTATCCTGAATTGCTGGCGTCCGTCCCTGAAGCTTTTCGTGTTGAACACTAGTGCCTTTTTCATCTTCATGCTGATAAACAGCTGCACCGGTTTTTCTAAGAGTATCACTGTGTTTTTTCTCTGTTGCGACTTCCCCTAATGATGAAGCGGCAGTTGTGATTGTATCCCTCTTCTCTCCTCTGCTGTGACTGGGCAGTGAGGTGCTGTGAGATACACTTTGGGACTGTCCATCAGAGGAGGTAGAAGCTGATGTGTGTACTACAGAGGACTGGGGGTTCTTGTTGCTCAGGGAGTATGTTTTCCTCCAACTTCCACGGCTGTGAGGAGCTAACTGTCTCCCTCTGGAGCTGTCATGATGATGGACAGATGTGCTGCGACCTCTTCCCCGGGCTGATGTTGGAGCTTCTGGACGCCTATGCTCATCTCTTGCAAATGGAGCGTCTCCATGGACACTCTTGTGAGTATTGATGAGATCTGAGAATGAGATAATAAGTTATTCAGTTGTACAATCAGATCACAGATTTATAAAAAAAGAAAAAGAAAACAGAGACCTTGTAAAGAGTTGGATGTATGTAAACAACATTTGTTTTTTCTTTATAGTGATATGGGTTTGCTTTAGCTTGTAGATAAAAGGAAAAAAACGAAGGACCAAAACAATATTTCATACTGTAAAATGTAACGTTAATTAAAACAAAGCTGTTTTTTTCCCTGTAGCGTTCATCAGTTAAGTGAACCGACCGTTTACCGTATTGCTTTGCATCTGAACATTTGACTAAACTAACCTGTTGACACATTATTAACATCTAACTCTAATACCCTAGCTAGCTAACTAATGCTACATATTTTTACATGCAGTATATTAAGGATTTTAAATCATTGAATGTTGTTAATAAGATAATAACATGATAAAAGGCACCAACGTGTCGTCTTAAGACGAATGTGCGGTTTAAACTGGATGCTAAGCTAACGATAAAATGTCATTATTAAATGCTTAAAAACGCGCAACATTCACACGACAGCTCTGAATTTAAAGAAGACAACAATTGAAACCTGTTTCCTAACCCGCCTGGTCACAAACTGTTAACGTTTAAAACGAGGAATTTACTTTGTAAAAGTTCAATTTCCCTCTTCAGTGCTTCTCTCTCCTCCATGTTTACTACTGAATGTCTTGTCATCAACCCACGACAAAAATAGGCCCTTCCGGATGATGTCAGTTAAACCGCCCAATCACAGAACGCCTTCAGAGCGGATACTGGTGTTTTGCCAGCCCTTCGTCTTGTCTTACAGGTAAGATTGTTGCCAAAGTTTCCTGTAATTGTCTGCGATTTTATTTGACGTGGTTAATATAATTGTTTGGGGACTTAACGTTGATATTGTAGTTAAAGCAACACAAAACCATCAAATGAACAGAAGGCATTTTAAGTTTATTTGTATTATTATTTTTCAATGTTTCCCAAATGTCATGTGTCATTAAATATGAATTTTCAGTCAATCAAAACCACACTAATTTGGACTAGATGCATTGTAAAGTGACAGCCAATGAATGTACCAATACTAACAGGAATAATGAGTTATCTTGAAGTTATGGAGTGTATTTATAGGTCCACAGCATTTTCTGAAATGCAACGTAATAAAGTGTCTTTCTGGTCTTGGTAGGAAAAATAACACAGACCTTGCTAGTGGAACTAGCAAGGTCTGTGTCCCCCCCCAAAAAAAAATGAGAGTGGGAACAAATTGAATAAACCTCCGCAAGAGAGAATGGTTAGGGATCCCTCTCCCTGCATTTACAGACACGCAATAGCTGTGTGTGAGACTTTATATAACCGATTTACACACTGCACCACGTGAATGGTTGTATGTCTGTAAGACCGTACTGAGGGCTCTATAGTCCAATCATCATTTGTAAACGACTTGTGTAAACTGGCTGTCAAATGATTTCAAAACAACGGCGTAACTATTATTTTTATTTCTGACATTAATTATATCTTTCGTAGAACTTCGTTATTGCCAAAAGGTTGTTCAAGTAAAATTCAACATTCTTATCGATGAGGGTAAAACGCTGATGACGACTGAAGTGAAATGAAACGGGAAGTGAAAGTTAAGGCTGCTGGTTTGGACATAAACCAAAAAGAGCGTAGATAGAAGAGAAAGCTAGGCTTAAAGTTGCTTGATAAGTGAAGGTAAGGCCTACTTTGTCACTATTTCTCCTGAAAATACGAACAGAGTCCGTAATTTCTCACATACTTAATGTTAATATGTGACCAATATGGTTAATTTTGTATTCATTTTTCTTTGTTTTGAACTAGCTTTTGGGCAAATGTGTTAAACCCATTTTTGGTGGTGGCGTTTCGACAGGGAGACTAAGAGAGAAAGTATTATAGATATATAATTTGTGACGCACCCTTAAACGTTTATTTGATTCCAACAGCTAGTTCAGTGTCGTTGCTAACGAGTAGTTAGAGAGCTAGCTTGAGTGTTGTTGTCCACACAATTCATATTGAAAGTACTGTGTGTGTGTGTGTGTGTGTGTGTGTGTGTGTGTGTGTGTGTGTGTGTGTGTGTGTGTGTGTGTGTGTGTGTGTGTGTGTGTGTGTGTGTGTGTGTGTTTACAGTACCCTGCTCATCACCATGACGTCAACAAATTACCTGTACTTCATCGTAAAGACAAAACCTCAATTCCCAGGACTCTTCAATGCTGGCCAAATATGCTACATCAAGGAATCCATCTACAATAAAAAACAGTCAGTCGGAGAAAGGTCTCCATCTTCTGCAAAGTTGCCCGTCTTCCGTCTTGGTTCAATTTCAAGCTTAGATTATGATATAGAGGCGAGTAACATGGATAAGCTGAGTGCACAGGAAGCGGAGCTGCTTCAGGCCCTCCCTGATGACGAAGAGAGGCTGACCTGGTTCAGAGAGAGAGAAGCTCTTCAAACTGCTCTGGGACTCACACTGGGAACTCCTGTGATTGTGGAGGAAGGAGGAGAGAAGCTCAGAGGCATCATTTGCTACATTGGACCGATTACAGATACCCCATTGGATCCCACTTCAGGAAAGTTCTTTGGCATTGAACTGCAGGTGGGACTTTAAGGATGTCTGTTCAACCAGATCATATATATGTATTTTCTTTCATGCTTTCCCTGGCTGAAATAACCATTTTCATACAATTTTATTTGACGTTAGATATATACTTTTGATATTTAAACGATCAACCCAACAATGGAGGTGAATGGAATTGGATTTGTGACATGCAAAGAAAAACAAGTGACATATGGTGATTTTGCACTTTAGATTATGTCAGAGATGAATGGCTGATACCACTAGTGGATGTTTTTGGTTGAACTTGTATATATTTTATCAATCATTAACAGTAAAATGTACAGATCCATTTATAGAGGTATTGAATTTGAAAATGTAAGGAATATTATTAAGCAGTGCTGCTATGCTTCTTTCTCCCCAGGGGGAAGACAGAGGGAAGGGGCACACTGATGGGTCCTACAGAAACACAACCTTCTTCGCCTGTGAGAAATATTCAGGCATTTTTGCCCCGTTCTCCAGAGTCAGACCTGTGGTTCCCAGCTCCTTGTCACCCTCCGTCCCAAAGCACTCTGCACAAACTGAAGCAGAAGGGCTAAACGTGGGGGATAGAGTCACCTACTTCATCGATGAGAAATGTCGGCATGGAATGGTGCTGTATCTGCAGGGAGATTCTGTTAAGATCTCTACAGTAAGTAATATAGCATTTCTTTTAATTTAAATAGCCCAAAACATTTCTCAAATGGTCTCCACGCATTGATTGCCTTTTTTTTTTACTTTTGTAACTTAGCGACATCACTATGTATCACATGCACTTCTATTGCTAGCACTCCAACACACTGTACGTGATTGGCTATGGGGCAGGACAACGCTAAGCAGTTGACCAACCATAACAGAGCCGGCCAGTTAACCAATCAGAGCAGACTAGGCACTCGTTTCAGACAAAGGGTGAAAAATAAATACCTTTTTGAACATTAAAGCATGTAAACATGTCACAGTAGAGGCACAACATACAAATGTGAAAAATAAGCACAATAGGGCCCCTTTAAATATGTGATATGTTTTGCTGCTTTTTAAAATGTTGTTTAAAAATGCAGCCATTCCTTAGTGCTCTACTCATCTGGTGAATAAAAGACACCAGCCACGCTGACTTATTCCTAATATGTGTTCATATTATATCAATATGTATATATAGTTGATCTTATTATCACCAGGGATCCTCATAGCACTGTAGCTTCCTGGTTCTTTGTGTATACTGTAAAGGGGATGCTAATAAAAAAGAAAAGTGTCACTTCCTTAAGTACAAAGTGAGCAATTTGCATTACATTTACTATTTGCCATTTTTTGTTTTTTCAGGACAAAGATGAATCTGGAAAGAGAGGGGGCGAAGTAGAAGTTCCACTGCATGAGGTTGTTAAGGGGGAGGTGCCTGCAGGTTCGAGCGTCTCCTTACATGATAAACTTTGAAACTATTACACACATTTGTCAAACCTCTGACCCAAATGTATTTTTCACCGCAGAGCCAGAGAGTATGGTTGTTGATTCACCTCCAGAGGAACCAGACACTGAGGATCTGTATACGGATCTCAGCGTGAACTCTGTGGTGGAGGTGACTCTGGGTGATCGCAACTCCTACGGAATCATCCGCTGGATCGGCACTCCGCTGGGTCGACAGGAAATCATGGCTGGACTAGAGCTGGTAATATTTATACCCAGGCTTTTCGCTTTAAAATGTTTTGTTGGAAGATATATTGTCACAGAAATATCTGCGATAAAATATATTATTCTTATTTTAAGCCCCAATTCTATTTGAAATTTGCCATCTGTTCAAGTAAAGGAAACTCATAATATTATATTGAAATAATCTCCAATCAAAAGTTAAAGGCTGACCTTTCTGGGGCAGTTTGTAAAAGTTCTAATGCATGTTACTGCTTTCCATTTCATTGTGTGTGTATTAAGACAACTCTTATGTGTATCTGTCTCCAGGAGGAAGACAAAGGAGTGAGTGATGGTACTATCTTTAATGAACGTTTCTTCAGTTGTCCTAAAAAGAGAGCTCTGTTTGTGAAGCTGCAGTCCTGCCGCCCTGACTCACGATTTCAGAGCGCATCAGCAGATCCCTGCAAAAAGATGCCGAAACTTGAAGAAACAGGTCAGAACAACACAGATGAAGTGATTTTAGTTCAGTTTTGAGCATGTCCTTGCTTAGAGTGGTGTTATGTTGTTGTTTTATGAAAATCCATGTATTCCTCTAAAGTACGGTTATAAGTCGGCAGTGCCCCCTTGTGGACACATCGATGCTGTGCTCGAGTGACAGAAAAAATTATATTTGTATGTTTCATTTCCAGTCCCACATAACTGGAACATTTTGGTTGTTTTTTAAATAGTATTTTTATTTGATTTTGATTTGATTAAATATCTTATAGAAATACATTCAATCATTTCAGATAAATAATTATTTTAGAATGTAACATTTAAAAAACCTGCATAGTACATACTCATTATGATTATTATACTAATTAAAAAAACAACAATAACCCTATTTGTATAGCACCTTGTATACATACAATCCAGCACAAAGAGCTTTACAATATATCCTTTACACCTCAAATAAACATAAAAACAGGGATAGAATGACATAATAATGGCATATAAGATACCATTAATATTCAAATAGAATGCATTTTAGATAAAAAAACAAAAACCACCAAATAATGTTAATATTTAAATCATATACATTTAAAAACACTGCAGCAGCATTAAAGCGCTGATAATCTGTTCTCATGTTTTGTTTTAGATTTTTCCATTACGTTTTCACAAGTGAAAAGTCAACACTACACCCGCAAGCATCCCCACATGCAGATTGTGTGTTATGTGTTCACGTGTGTGTGTGTGTGTGTGTGTGTGTGTGTGTGTGTGTGTGTGTGTGTGTGTGTGTGTGTGTGTGTGTGTGTGTGTGTGTGTGTGTGTGTGTGTGTGTGTGAGATTGACTTCAGAGAGAGAGACGGAGCACAGTGCAGGGAAGATGGAGACTGTCCCTCCTATCAGCACAGAGCAGGTTAAGCACATTCTGATTGGACGGATGAAGGGGATCCAAGGCCACTGCAACTCCTGCTACATGGACGCTGCGCTCTTCAGGTC